TGTTGAGTAGGCAATAGAAGATTGATTCTCAGTCCCTCTGTTCTAATTATAAAGTTACAAAATTCATTGTGGAAATTCTGGTTTTCAATGGTTGCTTTATACTAACCTGGGAAAACTGAACTAAAGTATGTGAGCAATTCCAAAACTCCAATATTACCCTGTAGGGTTTCTCTTGTAACTCATTTTCCATTTAAACCAAATGGGGCCACAAGGAGACAGAATTGACTTAATAGCAACTAACAAGAAACAACATTCCAGATACCAATTACCCATTTTATTTTAAAATTCAAATTACTTATTTTGCTTGACATCAACTCAGATTTCACTCATTTAATTGCTAAAACAGAGCAGTCAAATTATATGCATGTTGGTTAAAACCAGATTAATGTTGCTATCTATTTACGTATGTTATTGTTTCCTAGCCTCTCTATTCATGATTTTCCCACAGGATACACTTTGTCGCCATACAGTGGTAGATTTTTTTCTCTCAACTCTCTGTGGGGAACCGGCCTCTACATGGAATGGGTTCAAGTAGGTAGTTGAGTAATTGAGGGGTAAATTAAAGAGACACCAGACAAGATAAAACATTCAAGGGCTCATCTCCACCATGGCATCAGGAGCTAGGTCAGAGCAGAGAGACAGTGAATATATTCTTGCTCTAGTTCATGTAATCTCAGGCACCCAAGCCTTGCTAAGCACATACGTAACAGGATAGGGCTGTATTAGAGGCATACATGCAACAGTATGGGGAGAGCTAGGGGTATTCATGCCATAGGTAGGGAGGCAATAGAGGCATACATGTGACAGGAAGGCATGTATGTAACAATATGGGTGGGCTCTGGAATTAAGACGGCAGCCCATTGACCTTAGGTGTCTTTGAACTCTTCTCCAGGGGAATAATCTATGATCCTTATTAGGACGGAGTGGGCTGTACCTAGGGTTATGGGTTATCACTTTTAGGTATTTGGAGGCTGCAATCCCCCAGGGACATGGACGCTTTGGCGTTGAGGTTTTGTTTAGAAGCAAAGTCCTTAGATTAAAAAAATCAATCCCTGCTGATTAGGCTGAGCTGAAACGGGTCAGGGTCCCGCTGCCCTGCACATCCCGAGGTCAGAAGCTGCTCACCTGACAGGAGACTGAAGTACAGTCCTCCTGCCTGCCAGGGCTCATCAACTGCATCCTGGGCCATAAACCTTGCTGCTGCAGCACGGACTCCTCTCTCCCGCTTTCCTTTAACAACTCCAGACCCCAGCCCGTGGTTTCCCTGGGCTACTTGCTAGACCACGGGACTCTGCCTGGGAGCTTCCCTCGCCCTCCCCCTCCCTTTGCTACAATAAAGCTGTCCCTGACTTCACCTATTTTGTCCTGACCTCTCACCTGCTTCTTCAGTTTTTCCTGAAGTTTCATCACCTAATTTGGACTCAAAGAGACTTTAACTTGCTTTTTTACGTCGGGATAGCTCACTCAAGATTTCTCACTAGATTGACATCCTCTTTTGCTTCCTCATGCAGAGGTTCTAAAACCATCTTAACTTGAATACAGAGACCATGTGGGGATATTCTCCCCATCTCTGTGTGCTTTCTTTTGTTTAGGACGAACTTTCCCTAGGTCTCTAGATCAAAAGTGACTGGGCTCAGCTATAGCAGGCCGCCCCTCCCCCCCTCTCCCCCACATGTCCCCGAAGTCCCCCTGGAATGAGGAGACTGAGAGATGCACCAGGGATGCTGGACTCCCCGATAACCGGACACCCTGCCTGCCAGAGCTGATAAACTGCATCCTGGGCCATAAATCTTGCTGCTGCAGGACTGACCTCCCTCTCCCCGCTTTCCTTTAAAAACCTCAAAATTTCAGAGCTTGAGCAAAACCTGCGATTCCCCTGGGCTATTTACTTGCTGATAAATCTGTTTCTGCTCCCCCTTTGTCCTGTCAACTATCGTTGTCCGTCTCCCTGTGCCTCAGTTTACCTCACTCATCCTGTATCCCAGCTTGTCTTTACAGAAATTTTCTTCCTCTGAGAACCATGGATTATACTTTTTTTCTACCTGTTGAAAACCTTGCATGTTTTTGTTTGGTACTTTTACACCCCACCCCCACCCCCAGTAAATGGATGAGTGGAATACCATGTTTTATCTTTACTTTTACTTGGCCCTTTGTCCTCTTTTAAATATATATTTACTACTATTATTGATCTACTAATCTCCTAACTGGGTTCTCACATCAAATAATTCCTTCAATTCACTCCACATAGGTGGGGTTCACAACCCTTGCACAAAGTAATCTCCCCCCTGGGAAACCTTCCCTTAGTTCATGTTTTGGGCTGTGTGTTAGTCTGGGTTGATTAGAGAAACAAATCCAGAGACACTGGTATGTATTTAAGAGAGAACTTTATATCAAAGAGCAATTGTACATTAAGAAAACATCCCAGCCCAGTCTAGATCAAGTTCATAAGTCTGATATTACCCCATATGTCAATAGTAGTCCACAAATTCCTCTTTACACTCATGCAGCCATGCAATGATGTTAAATGCAAGAAGATCACAGGCCAGTGGGTAGAAAGTTTTGTGAATCCAGTGGTGGTGGACACATCTCAGTACTGGCGTGGGTCTCCACATGACTCCTCCAGCTCCAGGGCGCTGGCTCCATCAGCACAGTTCCATGTGCCTTGTCACCAGGAATACAAAGCAGAGGGAACATGTCTGGCCTCCAGTGAGCTATTTTTCTCTCCCACCTCCAAATGAGGTCATCGAGCTGCAACATGATCAAGAGGCTAGACCAGCGGTTTAGCCCTTTGGGCTTCGAACGGTCCCTTCACAGGGTTCACCTAAGACCACTGATTAAAAAAATAAATAAGCCGTTTCATCCTAGAGAAAATTACTTTATAATGTTAACTGTCCTTCCTGTAATTTCTTTTCTAATTTTTTTTAAATTAGGGGCTCATACAACTCTTATCACAATTGTGTAAAGCACATTTGTACATTCATTGCCCTCATCATTCTCAAAACATTTGCTGGCCACCTAAACCCCTGGCATCAGCTCATTTTTCCCCCTCCCTCCCCGCTCCCTCCTCCCTCATGAACCCTTGATAATTTAAAAATTATTGTTTTGTCATGTCTTGCCCGGTCTGATGTCTCCCTTCACTTTTCTGTTGTCCGTCCCCCAGGGAGGAGGTCACATGTAAGATTCTTGTCATCGGTTTCACAAATTCCAACCCACCCTCCCTCTACCCTCCCAGTATCACCACTCTCACCACTGGTCCTGTAGGGATCATCCTCCCTGGATTCCCTGTGTTTCCAGTTCCTATCTGTACCAGTGTTCATCCTCTGGTCTAGCCAGACTTGCAAGGTAGAATTCAGATCATGATAGTTGGGGGTGGGGGTGGGGGAGAGGAAGCATTTAGGAACTAGAGGAAAGTTGTATGTTTCATCATTGCCACATCGCACCCTGACTGGATAGTCTCCTCCCCAAGACCCCTCTGCAAGGGGATCTCCAGTGGCCTACATATGGGCTTTGCGTCTCCACTCTGCACGGCAGAAAGTTCTTGTACAGAAAGTCAAAGACACTGAGTAGCCAAAAACTGTGACCCAAAAGATAACTTGAGAATTAACCAAAGATGAATGAGACTCACCTGGGAGGAGGAGACAGACACTTTAGGATAATTATTTGAGCTGATTTTTAACCCTCTCAGTATAATGCAGACAAATAGGGAGTTCCACTTAAAGTGAAACCACTCAGGTGCTCGCCTGACCTGAAAATTAGAGCTTTAATTAGATACAAGCAAACACACACACACACACACACATACACACACACACACATTTGAATTAAAAACTATTAATTCCCTTCTTAAGACGAGAAAATATAGTTACCAGAAAAGGAGGGAAAAAAAGGAAAGAAACACTCTTTATAGGCTGAATTTACAAAGTGTTTCTGGGAAGCAAATATTACCCATTCAAAAACACATTCCGGTTCCCAAATCTCTGGGTGAAACTACTCAGTTTTGCAACAAACACACAGCGCTCGCCAGGTCATCTATTTTAAACAACACTGCAAAGCAGGTAAAACAAATTTTAAAAGGCAAACGATCTTTGAAGGCAACATCACCGGGACAGTACAAAAAATTAAACCAGGAGTACTGAAAATCAAACTAGACTTTTTCTGTATAAGCTGTTTAAAATTATTATTTATTTTTACAATAAAAACAAAAGCACAAAGAAATCTAATTCCAAAGGCTTAAACTTTTGCCAAGTGCCTTGGCAAATTAGATTAATATTCAGCCTGTCTAAATCCCAGGTTGTTTATGAAACCAGTCAATGTTCTTTTAAAAATACCAAAGGTTTTAAATTTGTAAAAAAATGTTTTGTCCTGATTAAAATTCATTTACTTTTAGCCAATAATTTAAATCTGTCAATAGAAAGCACAAAAATAACAACCAAAATAAGTTTTTGCTTGTTTGTTTTTACAGACTTCCATTCAGTCAGGTCTGTGACTGCAAGGCTAATAGCCAGCAACCCAGTCACTGGGAGGGAGGAGAGGAAGAAAACTGACAGAAGAGTTTGGGGAAATACAAGGACACACACATACATACACACAAAAAACACAAATAATCAGACTGGCCAAGTTACACAAAAGACAAATAGCCATGGCTAGCCAAACCAATTTACCAAACGTGTTGCCAATTCAATAAATCATCCAACTTAAGTGAGGGTCTGAAAAGACAAGCTGCCAGCTCAACAAGCCACCAGACTTCTCAGACAGTGTCCTGGTGAGAAGTGATCAGGAAGAGTTCAGACCACAGCCGGTCCCCTTCCCAAGTCAAACCAAGGGACCAGTCCCACAGTTAAACTTATCTGGAGGAACAGGAGAATCAGGCCAAATCCCGCGGAAACCAGGGGCGCCTCCCCTATAAGTCCCAGCACTTCCACTAGTATCAAGACACAGTCCCTTCCTGGCTAACATACCACATGTTGTAGGTTCAAATAAATGACAGCCACTCTAAAATCTTGATAATTTAGAAAAGTCTTTATTTGGTTATAACCGGACTGTTAGAATCTAAAAGTGATTCCTTGATTGCTGTCCCAAGTAGACATTTCAGTCCATCTTTAATCATTTTCCTAGGACTTAAGCAAGCATGGACAGAAGCAGAAAGCAAAATTAATGTTACTGTTCTTTAGCGTTAGTAAGCCCAACAGGGTACAGCATTGATGATAACAACCTGGCTCCTGGTTACATCATCAAAAGAAACAATACTATTAATTACAATGTTCTGATCTTGAGAACATTCTAAAATCAATCACTAGCAGAGACTTCCCCATAAGGGAAGGGAGAACAGGCAGGTCAACCAGCAGTCAAATTTACGTGATGGGAGGGAGAAGCAGGCAAGTTATTTAGCAGCTAACAAAAAAGGAGTTTCTCTTGCTAGCCTGCCACAGAAATTGCACCTTCTTCATTTATATAGATAACTCATGTTTCCAAGAACATGGAAGTGGCAATAATAAAATTCTGGGCTGAGATGAGACCTATCAACTTGAAAACAAAATAAAACCAGAATCTTGGAGAAGTCAAGGTTCCTGAGTATTCACTGTTGGAACAGAAATCTTTGATCGCAATTTTCCACATGAAGATGCCACTGCTACCTAGACACATATAGATCCACCCTGGTGCCAAGTAAGTAAAAGCTTCAGACATAGTCCAAATGTGACATATACATGGCTGGATACTATGTGGCTCCCCTTGGTTCAAATACACTGCCCAACTGTTTCTATGCAGCAACAGTGTATTGGACAAAGTCCCAGAAATTGTGATTTCTAAAAAATAGCGACATCCTTTACAAGGAACACAAGAAAGAATATTTTCTTCCTGAAGTCACAGTACAGTTTTAGTTAAGGTTGCTATAGAAAATTTCATCACCTAATTATGTATAGGTTCCCTGTGTGGTAGGTGTTCACCTATTGAACGCCCTTTCCTGGTACCACTGACAAAGAAGTGATTTTCATTCCTCCAGAAAGGAGCCTCTGCTTTTCCAACAGAAAGTGCATTAAAATATTACTGATGAGATCACAGAATGCCACAGACCCTTAAAACCATTTGACACATTCTTGTTATACATACGTATGCCATATGTCAGCCATATCCCTCTTAAGGATTTATGCATATAAAAAATATTTGTTCAGAAAAAGTGGCACATTATTGTTAATATCATCTTTATTAAAATGTTAGAAAATAGTGGATAAAACATTCTAATACTCCTATAGTTTGGTGATAGTAAAATAATATTTCAATATAAATCAAAGAAACAATTTATAAATTTTATGTTGTGCATATAGAAGTCATCAGATCACAAAATCAAGTGGAAATCAAAGAATATAGTACACTACTAAACAGTGATAAAGGTTTTTCACAATTCCTTAGACCTTTCTGCACCATGGGTCTCATATGCACAGTAAAGTTTGAGGATTCACTAAGCTTGTCACCAAACCCTTACATTCATGTCTCTCCAATATGATGCCTTATAACTTTAGTGAGGTGTGAAGACTAAATTATTTCCTGCATTCATAAGTTCTCTCTCCACAGTGAATTCTCATGTTGACTGAAGTTTGATGAATGAGTAAAGGCTTTTTCACATTCCTCACATTCATAAGGTCTCTCTCTACTGTGAATTCTCATATGTCGTTTGAGGCAAATGGACTGTTTAAAAGCTCTCTCACATTCCTTACATTCGTAGGGCCTCTCTCCACTGTGAATTCTCCTATGTTCAGTGAGGTGTGAGGATTGAGTAAAAGTTTTCTTGCATTCCTTACATTCATAAGGCCTCTCTCCACTGTGAATTCTCATATGTCGAGTGAGGTTTGAAGATAGATTAAAGGCTTTTCCACATTCCTTACAATTATAAGGTCTCTCTCCACTGTGAGTTCTCTTATGTCTAGTAAGATCTGAGGGGCTATTAAAAGTTTTGCCACATTCCATACAGTTAAATGACTTTTCTTTCTTGTGAGCTCTCATATGTTGAATGAGGCATGTATATTGAGTAAAATCCTTCCCACAGTGCTTACATTGATAAGACTTAGCTCCATTGGAAATTCCCATATCATCCATAAGTATTGAAGGATCTCTAAAAATTTTACATTCTTCATAGCATTTGTTTCCTGCTTGAAACTCTACTGTCGTGTGCATATTGTTTTTACCACAATTCCTAAATTGATGAGCATTGCACTGAATGTGGAATTGCTTATTATGCTCTAGTGAAGAAAGAGAACTGAACGATTTTTTGTTCTGAAGATATTCCATGGGATATAAGTATCCTGGCCTTTTTAATTCTGGAAGAATTAAAATTTGACTGGAGATCTCATCAACAGTGTTTTCCTCATATCTTCTCCAGGATATCAATGACAAGTATCTTCTGTTAAAAACAAGAAGTTATAAAGAAGTTTTTTTTACTATTTCATCATTACCACCAATAGTAGATACACAGTTTTCTCCCTCAATTGTATAACAAATCATAAATTTTAAAATCTGAATGTGGTACAACTGTAATTATCACGGTGTTAACAAAATATGGAGGAATTACATAACTGGGTGTAAGACAAATGTGTTTCTAGTATGCAAAATATAATGCACATATATTAAAATATACAGTGGCAGTACTGTTAACACATTACAGACACATATAAAAAAACCCACATATACAGATATTCAACAAAATGTCTGTAATCTACATTGTTACATGTTGATAGTTTAAATTCAATTAAGGACTTTTCTTGAGCTATAAGTGTCAAACAAATTTATATATTTTAAGGCATATAGATACAGATATAACAATATTATGTATTGCACTTATGCTTCTACACTATATTCAAATATAAATATAAATAGTGACTGAGTCATTCCATTCACAGTGACCCTTTAAGATAGAATAAAAATATTTTTATTAAAAGTGTCATATTTATCATAGGGTGTGGCTGACATATTAGAACAACTGTCATTGTAGTTAGAAGCCGAATGCTTTATACAATGAATGCATTACCATGGTTATATTTCTGCATCTACATTTATATAATATACAAACATACATTTACATTAATCTATAAATACATGAACTGGGCATCAAAATATGGAAAAATTTGTTTTCATGATCTTTTTGATGCTCCAACTATGTCTTAAAATTCCCTTTGATTGAATTATGACTCATATTGACTGTACAGAACCACACAGAAATGCCCCTGTAACTTTCGAAGACTGTAACCCTTTCTTCCCTGGAACGACTGACTGGTGGTTTAGAACTACTGATTTTGCATTAGCAGGCCCATAAGTAACCTCTTCACCAAGTGAATTAGCTGTTGGGTTATTAAGTGATGGTGCCCTTGAAACAAAAAAAGCTTCTCCCCAGTAATAAAACTAGATAATCAACCTCCATCAAAGTGACCATCCACAAGAAGCCCTGTGCAACATTCCACTCTGTTTCTTGTCGCTAGGATTTCAAATATATGCTACAGCAGAGGGGGAATATGTGTAGATGGTGTGTTGACTGTGTACCTAAACTTGTTATAAATATCATACAAAACAACTGATCTTGACATGTGTATAATATATATCTCTACATGTATACATGTAAACATGTCATTAGATCACTGAGGTACTTAGTTTATTGTGCCAACCTGGCCGATAAACACATGTAGGGTTAGTTGAAGGGCAGGGGGATACATGGCTCGGGGAGCCTTGCCTTTCGAGTTCTCAGGTCTCTTGCTTTGTAATGGTCACACCAGGGTGCAGCTGCCTTAGTCAGTTCTCTGCTTCAGCCTGCAAGGCTGGCTCACTTCCTGCAAGACATCCCTGAGAAGCCACATGGACCTACCCCGATACAGCCTTGGGTGCTGGAGCAGCCGTGTGGAAACCCCTGCCAGTGCTGAGATGCTTACACGTTCACTGACTCGGCTTTCCTCCTGCAGTCGGCATCATTATGTGTGTTTTGTGAGATGGAGGGGGACTGTGGATTGGTGCCGGACAGATGGGCTAATGTTGGACTTGTGGGCTTGGGCAGCACTGGGTTGGGATGTTTTCCTGATGCGCACTTACCCTTTATATAAAACTCTTTCTTACACCTATGAGTTTCTGTGGATTTGTTTCTCTAATGTACCCAGACTAACACAATCACAAACAATTTTGACTCATAATAACTTATCTGTGAAAATTAAAGAATGAGATCACTAAAGAATTTATTCCCCAGAGTCACTGGAAGGTTCTGAACTGCTACATTTGTTTTATTCACTCAGTGCGTAATCCTACCACATGTACTTAATATGCCAAACAAAGTTCTTGCTTCAGTCTGTTTCCTTATGCATGTGCTTAACGTAACATGTCCTTCGAACTAAGCTGGAGCATTGCTCTCTGAGGTAAATCACACTCACCTCAAAAGTGCGTTCTGGTTGTTACCCTGCTTTTCGCAGCCATGAAACTCGCAGAGTTTTTTAAATATGGAGGCACTTAGATAATTTTCCGAGAATCTTACTATTACATCTTCGGTGGGTAAGTTTTCTTAATCATTGACATTTGAGAGAAGAATGAGTTATTTAAGATTAAATTCATAGTATGGAACATAAAATGTAAAACACTAAACACAGACACGAAGTAGCTGTGAGACAAGAAATAATTTGTCACATTTTGTTGTTATCATGTCTTGAAAATGATCAAACATCAATTAGCAAGCAAATTCATCCTTGAAACTTAACAGCCTGTAATTAGAAGATCAAATTTAAAAGGTAGTGGGTACAAGGCAGAGATAACATTAAAGAAGTAAAAGGAGGATTTTCTTTTTAATCTTCATGAACATAATTGCTATTATAATTCCTAAAAAGCGATAAACAAATGCAGGCATATGTGCAGAATTGTCTTTTTATTCAAATGAGAATTTTGCTAATTGGTTTATCAAATACAATTTCTTCAATGAAGAGCTTATCAATGCTGTCTTGATACAGTGGACCTGGATGAATGTTCTGCATTTTCGCCCATCAATGCTCTTATTACTCTGAGAGAACAAAATAGGTTTTAAAAATATGGTGTTCAGGATGGAAAAAGAATTTTCAATTAACAACTCCCTAGAATTGAGTTAATATTTTAATTTTCAAGATTTCTGGAGATAGGCAAATGTGAATTATTTTCAAAATAAATGACCTTTTATTCTGCCCTTCAAATATTTAATAAACACACTAATGCCCTGGTGGCAAAGGCGGTACCCACTGTGCTGCTAAGTACAACAACCACTTGACCCGGTGCTGAGGGAAAAAGATGAGGGTGTGCGTATCTTTTATCCATAGGAGGTCTTTTTCCGGCACTGTATCAGAAAGTACTCCATTGTGATTCAAATGTTTCTCAGTGGCTTATACTCCAGAAGTGAACATCTGTGCCTTACTACTAGCCTGCTCAGTTTGCAAGTGCCCTAGACACCTGTTCAGCATGGGTAATACAGATAGCAATTTCTTCCAGAATGACACCATGCAAGTTATGTTTGTGTGACCAAATGGCAAAGTAGTAGGAGAGTGAGCATGGGAAACCCAAGATATAATTGCTTCAGAGAGAACTTTAACTTAATTGGCTTATTTGATCAGGTTTACCTATCTTTTAGCCCAGTGACTGCGGTAACAACTGTATATATCTGGTAAATAATAAATTAATTGGAAATCATGAAGCTACTCATACCTACTACAGCTAGGTTTGTGAAGGTCTCCACCATCACCTCTCTGTAAAGTGCCTTCTGAGAACCATCCAGCAGTGCCCACTCTTCTGCGATAAAATCCACAGCCACGTCCTCAACAGTCACTGAGTCCTGAAAGAGCCACATCACCAGCTTCATCTGAGGACCAAGCATTCGATTATGGGTCAAAAGAAAGGTGAGGCTTATACTCCTGAGGAACCTTCATGTCACAGGAATGTGACATATGGCTGTCTGTTCTGTAAGGCCTACCTTAGAATTTAGCCATTATTCTTGTTCTCCAATCAGCTACATTCATTTCTCCAAGATTTCATCTCTTGGACTTATCAATATAAGACCCGGAGAAATTTTTGTGTAAAACTTCCATTTTTCTACTAATGTTCTGAAGGCTTCTCGAGTTTATAGCAGAGTAAGCTAACGCTTCCCACTTGGACTGTCTAAGTCCCATCAATACCCTAACTAAAGAGTTTATGATACTCAGAAACTCTCTGTGACAAATACCACATATCATGTCATCGCCTCTCTCTCTCCCTGTTTGTGTGTGTGTGTTTAGAGAGGGAACAACCTTCTATAGCAACACATAAAACATTTTTTCAAAAACGAATGAATGATGAAATATTAACTATTAAATTCTGAAATACTGGCAATTTGTTTGTATGTTGCCTCTCATCAACCATTTCAGGAGACAGTAAATAATCAAGAACTGAACAAATTGAACATATAATTCAAATGTGCTATGAATTATTTGTGATAAACAAATATCAGTAATTTACTGAATATCAATTTTATGTTTAAGCAAACCCATTCAAATTTGGAAATAGTCTATGCTCCCAAATTTGAAAAACAGGTATTTGTCTACAGACTGATGGATATCCATATTGATGTGCATCCCCCCCACCCCACACACACACAAAAATTAAGTACAATGTGCACATTTTCAAACCACATTATTATTAGGACACAAATGTGACATTCTGCTGAAAAAAAATTGAAACAGTTGCAATTCTGGATCGACGGAACCGAAAGAAACTCAAGATGGATTAAGAAGCACTTCTGGAATGAGAACTTCTGATGTTATTTTTGATATATGACGGTTCTTGTGTAAGATTCAATAAGAAAACACCCTAAAAATATTGGTCTGCAGAAGATATACACTGGTACAGATAGGAACTGGAAATACAGGGAATCCAGGGAGGATGAGCCCTTCAGGACCAGTGGTGTGAGTGGCGATACTGGGAGGGTAGAGGGAGAGTGGGTTGGAAAGAGGGAACCAATTACAAGGAACTATATGTGACCTCCTCCCTGGAGGATGGACAACAGAAAAGTGGGTGAAGGGAAACATCGGACAGGGCAAAGTATGACAATATAATAATTTATAAATTATCAAGGGCTCATGAGGGAGTGGGGAGTGGGGAGGGAGGGAGTGGGGAGCGGGGAGGGAAATGAGGAGCTGA